AAATGAGAATAACTAACATCACTTACTTTGATGGGTTCCACTGAATTGACCAAATTGGGGAGAGAGCACCCCCTGGTCTTTCTATTTTCACTTTTTCATCACCACTCTGATAAAGAGAAAAGCATTATGTTACTACTGTACATCTTTCCAATACTATACTATACCATATTTACTCTATTAGAAGCACACGTAAACCCAAACTGAGATTACTGTATGTTTCGAATTAATAAAATATAACTTATTTTTACTATAAGACACACCTATTGTCAATTACATCAGCACAAGCACACTGTCAATCAGTACGATAAACAGATTGGATTGAAGCCTGCTACTGACTACATACAGATTACTACACACTATCGAACAGTACAATACAATTCTCACCTTTGCCCTGATGCTGACACAACCATTAAATAACCCCAGTGCAAGGTACTGTCCATCATTGGTCCAACTACAACATGTCACTCTACTGTTAGATTTATGCTTGGACACAGATTTCTGTTCTGGTGACCATAAACCTTTTAGAATGATAGAAATGATCATAGTTGTGAGGTTATATAGCAACATTAAATATAAGATACCGCTACAATAGCAGCAAGGATGATTTCTTGTGTGACTACTTCTCTGTGATTATTTTCCTGTCATAATGGCATTATGACAATTCAGTAGACAATCTGGACACTATTAAATGTACACAAGAACTTGTAGACCAGAGGGTTATTTTAAGATTGTATTCTTCAGTTTTGGTCTCTGCATTTGAATGTATTGGCACGCTCAAAAAAGGTATGGATAACTCATTATATAGTATTACTACTGGTCTGATAATGCCTGTACAGAAGCTCGTAATTGACAGAGACATGAAGCCAAATGCCTAGATGTCCTACCTTACTTGTCTTGGTGCCCTGAAAAACAGGTGCCCTCAGAAGTTCAAAGTTCAAGTCCTGCAGTCTGTACTTACCAAAATCACTGCATGCACAGCTAGCTAACTGGTGGGTAACTGGATTATATGAAACACACTGAATGGCATCGTTGTGCCTGAAAAAGAATAACAAATTGTTAAATAATGTAATAGCAACATTACAATCATTACTGGTGATGAGAAGATATACCAAACTTTTTGTGGAAAGTGATATTTGAAAACAGCAAATTACTACTAAAGACTTACGTGTACTTGAGAATGCCTTCTAATTTAGATGTCCAAATGATAACACTTTTATCAGCGGAGCCAGAGGCAAATCTTTTGCCATCTCTAGCGTATGCTACACAGTATACGGTATCTTTATGACCTTTCAATGGTTGTATCAATGTACCATCATTGGTATCGTACACCTGTAAAACCAAATAAATAAATTCAATGTCACATACATATCTCGCATAACCCATCCATATTGACTTTCTAACAAGCAGGCTATGAATCACCTTGCCTACATCATTGTAAGTGTACAGTTGGAGTATTGACCAACACACAGAGGAGGTCTATGTGCTGCGTACTGTCTGAATGCATACTTTGCAGTATCCTTGTAATAACCTTATTATTAAACATCTTTTTCGTCCAAGGATACATCATGGCAATGCCGAAATCCAAAAAGTTTAGAAAAGAATCAGCGAACTTTTTTGTGTGGAGTCCAGTCAAATCCTGGTGGCAGCCATGTTTGTTTTTATTATTAGAGGATGCTTTTAAAGCACGTAATCATTCCATATTTGGAATTCGCATTACCTTATATGGTAGGATGAAAATACCCAGTAAAATACCGCAAAGTTACGGCACGTTGTAACTTATGGCATTACGGTGACAGATGTATAATAATAACTAATATAAATTATTAAAGTGACCACACACAGGTATTCAGGGATAATGGTTTCTGCTTGGAATAAAGTTTGCGCAACAAAATGGCTAAAAATAAATTATTACATGTATCAGAGAAAAAAAAAAGTCTATAATTATTATCAGCCCAATTGATACAATTTTTACTTATTTTGTTTGTAAGTGTACCAACCTTGCACTTGTGTTTACATGTGTATCAAATACTGGTAGAGAAGTAATAATTGGAGAGTGATGAAATGAATCTACAGAACAGTGCTGCACGAACAGTTGCTAGAGTGTTCTAAGCTGAGTTAGCCTAGGAGAGGAAAAGGCACTTGTGAAAAACAGTGTCAAAAAAACTCTTAACTTACCAAAACTCTATTTCCTGCAGCAACAATCAGTTGAGTTCCATCAGGCTTGAAGGCCAAATCATAGATACTGAAAAAAAAAAAAATTTTTGAACATCGAGTAAAAATCATAATATTACAAATATACAGTTTATCAAGGCTCTATAGACTGAAGTTATTTATGTATTTAATCACATCAGTTCATGATTTTTGCAGTATTTGAAATTACAGGTCGCTCTAGTCCATCAAGTTTTGAGCCAGGACACAAAGTTTTGTAACGTAGTCGCCCTGTTGCCCACATACCTTTTTGAGCAATAGGATACACCTGATGAGCGTCAGTAAATTAATCTATTTAGTAAATCTTTTTTGTTTGTTATTCTTTTTGTTATTCCTTTCTATTTTCTATAATAAATAAACGTTTCCATTTGATGTTTAGTTTCTGATGGGAAACAGTGTCTGCCTGGGCCTATGCAGTACTAGTATTAATATAAAACACCACATATACACTATATGAGATTGGAATATTTTGAAGTCATATTAAAAGCGGTTCTCAATGACAATATGGTGACTGCAGGAAAGTTAAGTTGCAGCACCTTTAAATCTACAACAAAGTAACTATAGTTTCTTGGCCACTTTTTTCTAGCCACTAAAAATCATGCATATAATAATGATACAATGTAATCATAATTTTTCAACAGAAATATCATTTCTTGTGAGATCAGTAAATTGTAACTATTATTATAAGTGACTAGTGAGTAAGTACAGGGAGAAGTCCTGTAGGTCTCATGGAAGAATACAAATTTACCATTTATAAAATCATATTATGAAGCAATTTTTCAGAAAGTAGATCAGATACTACAACTTTATAAATACTGAACTGTATAACGCAACTAATGTTAGGAAATTTTATAAGAATTACATGTTATATTAATTGCATGTTAGGTATATTTTGATGTAATTTATTATTATACAATTCCTTGGTTCAGTTCTGTTGCTCTAAGTCCATCAAGATATTATTATTAAATATTTAGTATCTTACAAATGCTAGCATGTTTTTTGAAGTTTGTTGTGATATCATCAGTGTTATTTATACCGTATGTGAATACAAGAAAAGTCAAATCAAAAGTACTGATATTGAATGTTAGGTTAGCTTAATACCAGTAGGTGAACCACTGGTTAGTCTCAGTTCACATCTAAGAGATTAATAAACACTGTGATCATATCAGCTGGATCATTTGTAATGAATGAGCTAGATCGTGATGGCGTCTCGCTGACATGACAACCATCACACACCTGACATTCTACTTCTGTCCAAAAACTGACGGAGTCAGCGATATCCTCGATACTCCATTGATACGTGATTAAGAGTGCCGTGGACGGCAGTTATATAAACAGTCTCCTTACCATTGCTCAACTTTGTCCCTATCGTGGACTTTATCAACCCAGGTAGGTATGGATCTCATCTTTCCCACTCGTTTTAAAAATATTTCCCTTGCGCATGCTCAGTAATGCCAGATTGTAAAATCTCGCGAAACATCGTGATTTCACGCGCCCAATTTACTATGGGGGCGCTGTTATGAGATGATCGTCCAGAATGTGGTTTGTACTAGGTTATAACTCGAGGAATAAAAAAACATTTATTTATTTGTTTGTTTATTTATTTATTTATTTGTTTATTTATTTATCAGTTTATTTATTTATTTGAAAAGAATTATATATGTCACGACCGTGACGTTATACCTAAAATGTAAACAACTGCACTCGATCAAAAGCAATATCAGTTCTAGACGACTTCATTTCGGTTCGTATCAATGGTTGGTAGATACAAGTATACACGCAACGAAAAAAGCTGGCTTCACATTGTCATACTTTGCGCATACTATAATGATGTCACGACGCTGACAATGTCTTCAGTATGTCACAATAATACTCCGACCCTTTCCTTGGGAAATTAATGCCAAATTTCACATTAATTATCACTTTATGCAAAGAAACATCCGTCGAAGTATATCATATTTTAAAGTCCATGTTGCTGTTTTTTTTTATTTATTTTTTGTAGCACGCCGGAAATGCAGCGGTGTGTCACTAATTTTTAATAATTTATACCGATTTTGTTTCATTTGAAAAAATGAAAACAATTATCGAGCCGTTTTTAACCTTCATGGACATGCCTTCAATTTCCATGAAATACAGTATTATTATGTTATGCTCATTATATGTTACCATTATATGTTACCAGGTATATTCTATCTACTATCTTTCTCATGGCAGTGGAGGGGATTATTGACAACAATATTTCTACCAACTTACCTGGCTCCATATACGTCACAGTCTGAGGCATCAAAACTAAGACGAATGTTAAACTCCGGTTGAAACTCAAATATTTTGCGAACTTTTGTCACCATGATAATTTCGTGTTTGATGCTAAAAACAGAAACATTATGAATTCACGTTGGTTGTGAGCCTATTTGCAACCGCATCTCTGTATTGGTCAGAGTCGCAGCAGGAACCATATTCTATAATTAATTCGCTTTATTAAGGCTTTGAGTAAAATTCTAATTTTGCTCCACTGCGCATGTTACTGCACATATATGCAATGCATTGTGGGATAATAAGTCAAATTTCACTCTACTGAGCATGTATACATTATGCAATGCATTACGGGAAATAACCCCCAATTGCATATAATTAAAAAAACTATAAATACCATGGAAACTCACTAATTTATATGTCAACTTTTTTTTGAAATGTCCTGACAATATTATGATTCATATCAATAATAATAAACGACTTTTTTCATCACATGTCACTGGGCAAAATTTTGAGAAATGACGAAATAGACTCACCATAGAAACCAGTATCAATTTCGACCATTTCGACTTCTGTGTCTTGGTAACCCCAGCTTTTTTTTTATTAATTTGTGTATTCTGATGGTGTGAACTCATAATGATGAAAGTATGACGAACATTTCATATAATCTCTAATTTGACTAGAACACCTTAATACTAATCACCTAAATTAAATTGATTCGTTGTTATGGAAACCATTTTCATATTCCTCCAAAACTGCCCGCCTTCGCTATCGCGTTCAACGTTAAGACCAGGGCATTTGATTGCACTTCTAGATAAACAAATCAACCCTTCCATAACCACCATTTTATAATAAAATATACAGTGCAGAAATTATTAGGCCCTGAAATATCCCGCAGATCCCTTCCTAGATCAGCTATCCAGAAATAGTAACTCAATATATCTAATAGGAGTGTCACTCGTTTCCGCAAAGCTAACCGTTTCCGATGTCCTTCATACGCTCACAATAATCACGTCGTGCTTGACAGGCTTTCTCTGTTGCCATGGTAATACATAGTGTATGATTATTGTCATGATTTTTGGATCATTATACTATAAAGCAGATAATACAAAACATGAAATTACATCTGAAAGGAGACGCTTAGCTTAACATCGTAGTCGATATCAATATCGCCGCTTTTATAATATAATTCACTAGAAACTGTTCAATGTTGTCTGATGTTACGAATCATCTCAGACTAAGAGTCTGAGGAAACATTGAAACCTAAAGTCATCAATGAACGCATGGGAGGAAGTGACGTCATAATAACGTAGATGGGTGCAAGTAATGTCGTTCAAATAGTCGACTCAGCTTGAAAGTGAAGTCGATAGTCATTTAAAAGATAACAGATCTCCAAAAAAGTGTTTTGTATTGAAAACAGATCACAATAATATCACCGTGAACGATGTTACGTAAACCTATATATTATGGTATTTTAGGTGACATACTGACGATGTTGTTATCAATGGTCAGTGTTCGGAATTTGCACCAGTGTTCAGTGGTAGTCCCCAGGGTAGTGTGTTAGAACCTGTATTTTTCATCCAATGTAACATACTGCTGGAATTAATTTTCGCTGTAAAGATTTTTCGGGTGTTTTGTATGAATTTATTTTCACTGATTTCTGACGAGTTGAATGACGCCAAATATAGGAAAGGGTATAATATTCGCCGGATTTAATTTTCCTTCATTCCTTCAGCGAAAATAGAGAAAATTAATTCCAAGCGAAAATAAAGTACTTTACAATATATTAATGACCAGCCTGACGTTGTTCATAGTTGTGTCAAGTTATTTGTGGATGACTCTAAGATTTATACTAATGCAAAATGTTTTTGGCAACTTCAACAAGATGTTAATGATACTTGGCAAATTAGTAAAAAATATGATAGTTAGTTTGTTATTATTCTTTAAGATCAAGTGGATAGTAGTTTGTGTGTATATATGTGAACAAAGACCCTCACTCCCTATGCTATATCCTAACACCCAATCCATTTTTCACACACAACCCAATATAGATGCACAACCTTTAGTAGGGTTCACCCTAGACTAGCACAGTCATTGCAATTGTATAGTAGTACTTGATAATTTTTTTAGAACGAGTTTGTAGGAACTTTTACGACTGGTCTGTTCTGATGCGTGCTCTATACGTTTTCGTGGTAATAAATATGCTAATGAGTAGCATGATTTGTAAGTTGTAAGCAGCCATCCAATAAGAAAGACAGCTCTCGGTCCGACATGTTCTACGCAACTATAAACCACGCCTTCTGTTCCGCTCCCGGGCTCCATAACGTCACTGCAATTTATGAATAATTAAAGGAAACTAATTTGGTGTTTGTATTAATTAATTAATTTATGTATATTGATTATAAATTTGAAAAAAAAATGATTATCTTTAGAGTTATGATGATTTAATTATGAGAAACCATGAAACTGTGAAGGACTTCCGTCCGCGTCATCTTGGCAAAAAAAAAAAACACGCCCGCATGAGGTATAAACAAGAAAGTCAACAAAGCATGATGACGAAATACTATCTGATTATACATGTATATAAACAACTTAAGGAGCTCTGGTTGGCTGGATCGATGAATTATTATGCCTCAGAATAGACAAGTCGTGGCAATTTCACGTCGGGCCAGTCGGTTGGGCCAGTCTAGGCTCACCCCTATGTATCTAAAGACTCTGATCTTCATCCATTTCACGTCAACTTTCGTTGTATCGCCCAAGAACAAGTGTTACTCACATACCCTGGTACTGTCAATGTCTCTTCTTCGATTTTCCAGGTCGAACAAATGCTTTTACCTGGGTTTGCTTGATATTAATTACCAGCATGACTGTTGAAGTTACGATGAAATAAAAACGCACGTTGACCGCAAGCAAAACTAGAATATTATACGTTTGTCAGAGATGTTGTACGATTCTTTCCGCTATATTATAGGATTGTCGGGGATATTAAACGATTGTCAGTTATGTTAGTTTAGGGTTGAAATTCACAGATTCATAAATTGGCTAATTGTTTTCACATATCGGAAACCAGTGCCCTGACTTATTGAACTCGTATCACTTTCTTTCTCTCTGCTTCGCCTATCTTCGCCTCTATAGCATATTTTGTTCATTATTTTCCACACTGTGTAGGGAATGAAATGTGTTTACCAAATTCTCTATTCACATTTAACTCGGTCCTACTCTGGTTAGTCATAGACATAGAAAATAAGATCCAACCTAACAAACCTGGTCTGTCATATGTGATCTTCAGAATGGTGCGAATAACACTTGCTCTGGCTTTTAGTTTGTGGAAATTATATGAACTGCTTTCTAGAGGACCGGTAGGGACCCATAAGGCAGTGGGAAAAGACCAAATTACCCATTTACCGCAAATTTTCATCAAATTTAATTTCCGGGGAATAATCTGAACAGCGGTCAAGCCTTCGGTCTACTCTTCAGTAGGTCGGGTGTAAGGTGGGTACGCTGAACGCAGTAATACACTGATATATTCATATGTAACAGTACATATATATTTAATTTAAGAAACAGGTAAAAAGCAAGGCAACCTCAATTTCATGATGTTTCATGATTGCATCTAAAATAACAAAAATGTTCAGTAAATTTCAAATTTGAAGATAATGTTACAAAAATGATAAAGATTCCTATAGGGTACCTGCATACAAAAAATAAGTTGATAAGAACAAGAACAACAAAATATTTTTTTTTACCAAAAATTATAGCCTAAAAAGTTGTATTGTCTCTAGAATTGAACAAATAAACTCATAAAATACAAGACAACAACACAGGACAACGACAAGAGAAGTATTTGGTACTTGCCCACCTAACGTCATATCCAGTTGACATCATGATATGGAACACAATACTCAGCAAAAATATGTGTCCAGTATGGTTAATGAGTATAAACATTTAACAATTTATGGAATTAACTACACTGAACATATCTATTGTAGTGGGCTCTAACTTCAATATATTTCACCTCGTTGGGGGTAACCTTATGTATACCGAGTGTTGCAACAGTAATGTATTATTCATGGGTGGTGTTTGCCAATCATGTTGCCTTATAGTAAAATGTATGCTATTCTCCTTTCCAATAATAGAAAATAGTAATAAAACTGAATGAAAATTACTAGCGACATCAGTGGT